CTTCTCTCTATCTGCGCATCTCACGACCGTGTGACGTTTCACCTATACTTGCATACAGTACATAATGCATGATTTATTTTTGTGCCGGTGTACTTTATCTATAGTGCAGTACGTAATGATTGTTTTCTTAGGTAATTCCGATGTCACCAACCCTTTGCTGTGTATAAGCGCTTACTCACACTGTTCTATTTCGATTACGATTCCGTTTTAGTGGGATTAAAAAACCACCTTTTATTTTTAAATTTGAGTTTTTCTAGGCCAAGTATTTATTTAATCTACCCCCTGTTTTCCTGTGACAATGACCACTTGATAACGCAGGGTATTCGATGTTAACGAGGCTGCTCTTCTCTTAGTGTTTTAAAAATAAATCGGTCACCTCGCGCGATATCTGTAAAAAGAAAATAGCTTGGTGACTGCTGCTGTAATGCTTTTGTCGGCGCGAGCCAAGGTCGACCAATGAAAAAAAAGCTGTGCGCACACACCCCACATTTTAGCCAATGAGAACGCGTGTTAAAGGTCGAAGGGCTCCAGAGTGCTATAATAATGCATTTGCTTATGCACGTAGGAAAAACATCGGAAACTTTTTGCCATTGATAGCCGGTGTATTTTTGTTTGAGCAGTGAAACTTGTTGTGATTTAAGGTTTCTTTCCGTTGTTGTTGATGGAATATTTATTTCACCTTTGTGATATTTAACCACCTCGACACTGGAGTCGATACATTACCAAAGTTCATTTATGCAAAATTCAAGTCAAACGAATTGTACCTCTACACAACTTCGGTGTTCTATTCACAAAGCTAACAGTGTTGTGCACAAATACAGGACCGGTGTTGAGGAAATAACGAACGGTGTTGTGCAGTTACAGACGCCATCGTCTGCTCGCTTGACGTCCCATTCTAACTCGGTATCATCTCGCGATTCAGAAATGCGTGTGTTGAAAGACGTGCATTTAGACAATAGCGTTTTTCACTGCCCCAAAGCCGTGGCCCTGCCACACTACGAATACTCGCATTGCTTCTATGAGCTTGAAGACAGCGATAACGATGTATTTGATGATGAATTTGGATTTAACGATGACGAAGAAATGCACGTAGATAGCGGTCATTTACATTGTATGTCACATAAATATGAGGTAACCATACTTTTATATAGCCCACATGTCTGTTTACCCATTGTTACATCTTAAAATTCAGGGACACATCGAGTTCCGAATATTGTTTAGGTTAACTTACACTCTTCGCTTCATTATAATAAAGTTAGATCTACCACTATTAGCTGTATTAGGCTCAAACTTATCGTACCAAAACTCTAAATACAAAATGTACTTAAAAATAGAACAAACATCAGCCTAACGTACTGATGCCTTCTCTTGCTTAATAACTAATTTATACGAACTGTTGATGTTGTACCAGAGGCGTAGCGGGGGGGGGGGGGGACATATGTCCCCGGGCGCCGACCTTAGGGGGGGCGCCAAATTGAAAGTTTGAGGGGGGGGGGGTGCAAATGAAAAGTTCGAGGGGGGGGGGGTGCAAATGAAAAGTTCGGGGGGGGGGGGGGGGGGGGTGCAAATCGAAAATTTGCTCCCGAGGGGGGCGCCAAATTGAAAGTATGTCCCCGGGCGCCGGGAAGGGTCGCTACGCCTCTGTGTTGTACATGATTTAATCAAGCCAAGATGCATGAAGTGAACGATGATGTCAGCAGTTACTTTCTGTATATATATATATATATATATATATATATATATATATATATATATATATATATATATATATATATATATATATATATATATATATATATAATGCATTTTCTTCTTCTTAATGTTCATAATATTGATTGACATCGATCTTCAAAATTACATTATAGCATGGTGGACGAGTATGTCGTTTAAAAAAAGCCCGATACCTTCTTAACTGCTAGAAATACACATTCATCAACAGTTTTTAAATAACATAAATAACGACGTTCTGTTTATCATTCTGCTAAAGTCTTAAAACCTTGATGATACCGAAGCAGAAAAGTTTCCTACAAAATCGCTCGATTTATCCACCCCCCCCCCCCCAACAGCCCTCGCCGTTTTTCTTTCAGGTTTTTTAAAAGCGTTAGTAGTGTCACTGGAAAATTCCTTCCCTTTCCTCTCTGTTTTCTGTTTTAATAACTGTACCGTTATACATGAAATACAATTAACGCATAAGAATGCTTATGACCTACATTTAGCATTACATACAACTTGTTAATTTTATTTTTGTCTACGAATAAAGGTCATAACTTTAAAAAATCTCCAATGGATTTTTTTTCAATTCCGTCAGCTGGTGACGGCATAGGTCAAGGTTATTTTCTTTCTCAGCTGTGCTGATAGGCTAGAGCGGAAATAGGCTGCGCACGCATTGCTCATTAGTATTCATGGGCCGGAGGTCAATCCCTAGTCAGCTGTTTGCAACAAAGATTCGTTCCGCGATCGTTATTTCAACTTTCATTCGCCTACCGGATAGCAAACGATAGAAACCTGCATTTTAAACTTCTTAAAGTTAATGTCGAATTATGAGTATATTGTAAACATGGTGATTACTTTAGACATCTTACATAACAGTGAACAATTTTTTGTAAGTAGACTATTTTAAAAACAGATTTTTAATAATAATATAATCTAAATTCTAAAGTCTAACTAAAGTATTCTAAAAGTAAAGACTAGGCCAGGCGTAAGCCTAGAGTCTAGAGTCTAGACAGTAGACACGTTTAAAAAAAAAATTATAAAAAGGTCAGAAGACATTAGACTACTTCCTACTGAGTACCTCCTAAACCAAAAGTGTCATAAATCACTGTTGAAAATTTAGATATAGATTATAGATAGCCTACATTATTTAATAGTTAGTAGAACCTGCTAGATTCATATCTTAATTTATTAATTATTCTAAATCTATACCAATTATAGAATCTAAGGAAATTTCTACATACTTTATAGTATACTTTATGGTTTTCTCTAGGCTAATTAATAATTATAAAAGTTATCAAACACGGGTAGGATCTAGATCTATATCTAGCAATTTATAAGAAATCCACCCAAAGATGCAAGTATTTAGAATCTAGAATAAAATGCATTGAATGGCAGCAGATCTGGTCAAATTTCCAAACCTACCAAATGTTAATAAAATGCATTGCAATTTTGGTTATAATATTTTTCTTTCATTTACTTAAATATAGATTATTTAGTAGTCGTTAAATATAGATATTTAGTAGCTGTAGCTTACCAAGTCAATAAATTAACAAAAGATCTTTGTTTTTATCTCTACAGATTACCCCTGCTGATACCACAGAAGAACAGGTTCGTACAGTTTATTTTTGTTTGTCTAAATCTAGTCTATCTGGTACCTCTCTTCAGACAGCTATCTACATACACTTGTTTTATGTTAGACTTAAGGTTTGGGCAGGCAGATTCGGTTATCATCAGTTAAATGATGCATACTTTTTAATAATTTTATTTTCAACTAGCAAAAAATGAGAAACCAGACAAGCTTCTGTAGTTAGAGGGTGAGGGATGTAAACATCCATATCTACAAGTGGAGTGCCATTAGTAATATCCTAGGCTCAAATCCACATTGGAGAGCCATTAGTAATATCCTAGGCTCAAATCCACATTGGAGTGCCATTAGTAATATCCTAGGCTCAAATCCACATTGGAGTGCCATTATAGCAGTATCTTAGGCTCACATCCACATGTGTAATGCCATTATAGCAATATTCTAGACTCACATCCACATTTGGAGTGCCATTATAGCAATATCCTAGGCTCACATCCGCATTTGGAGTGCCATTATAGCAATATCCTAGGCTCACATCCACATTTGGAGTGCCATTATAGCAATATCCTAGGCTCACATCCACATTTGGAGTGCCATTATAGCAATATCCTAGGCTCACATCCACATTTGAAGTGCCATTATAGCAATATCCTAGGCTCACATCCACATTTTGAGTGCCATTATAGCAATATCCTAGGCTCACATCCACATTTGGAGTGCCATTATAGCAATAGCCTAGACACATCCACATTTGGAGTGCCATTATACTATATAGCAATATCCTAGGCTCACCCAATCCTCATCCTAAATTAAAATAATTTATAAATAAAATAAAATACAAACATAAATATAAAAATATATTACTGTCCTTACTATTACCTCTTAATGTTAGTGCACTGTACATTTCACCCAACCACTGTTTTAATTTTACATTTCATGATAAAATTTTTGATGGGCCAATTATAGATATGGGTATTGCCATAAGCACTTTTTTTTTACTTGATCTAGATATATATCTAGATAGACTAGAGATCTAGATTAGATCTAGTTTGAGATTATAGTTTTGCCAACCTAGCCCGGCCTAATTATTAGTAATTAACTAATCTGCAACACCATACCCAGCCCAAAGTTTATGGGCCCTAGACAATACAAATACATCATCTAGATTCTAGTAAAAAAAATCTAGTAGAGGTGATGTTTTATTACAGCTTATAATTTAAAAAAATAAAGCTGCTTATAATACATTATTGCAAAAGTTAAGTAGATCTAGATCTAGATTCTAGATTAGATGTAGGATGTCTCTACTGTCTAGATCTAGATTCCTAGATCTACGATCTTTTTGTCAGTAACTAGATCTAACCTAGATTCTAGATCAAGCTAGATCTAGATCTAGAATCTAGATCTAGATTTCTAGATCTCGATCTATTCTAGACGTCTAGGATTTTTTTTTTTTTTTTTTTTTGAGTTGGCTTATTTCATTAACACGGTTCAAATTAAACTTTAACAAACGTTTACACGGTGTAGAGATATTAGATCTAGTCTAGTTTGTTTTGCCATACCCAGTGTGGGTCTATGTGTTGAAGGGGATATAGTTTATTTAAAAAAAAAACATCAGCTGATGCAATCTTGTTTACAAGTAACCAATCGGATTCATAACCGGGTTGGGTCGCACGCCTTGACTGTGTGTAGACCCACATTCCGCTAGACTAGCCTATGAATGACGAGCACACATTCAATAACACGTCGTTAGAGAGACGGCTGATGCAAGCTCGTGGTAACTGTAGTGGTATAAATGTGACCGGGCCGGGCATAACCCCGCCATTCCACTCTCAACAAAGTCAAAATAACAGTTTCAATTTCTCTGTCATCATAATGATGAAAATCGCCACTAATTTCTTCAAGTCAGCGGTCAGTGTTTCTCAGGAGATTGTTGGTGCTAGTGAGGGCTTGCTCGACATACAACTTTTACCGCCGTCACGGATACGAGAAAAGTCGTGAAGCACAACAATGGAGTTGTAGCCGGGCTACCGTTTAGCCATTTTATAAAAAATTTAGTATGGGTGATTCTTAGCGCAGAACACCAGTAGTTTTCTTCAAGTAGAATCTATTATTTGCATCTTAATTTGCTTCACTTTTCTCAAGTACCATTTTGCACTACTTGCATTACTTTCTGCTGTTTAACAAAGACGCCTGTCTGTTTTTTTTATATCATCGCAAAAATTTGGCACTGAAGAAAAATCACATTCACAGTCGATCTAGTACATCTAGATCTAGAATATCTATATTGCTTGAATATTAAGGATACTGTTGGATTTGGCGATCTATTTACGATTTGGCAAGTTACGTTTTGGAAAATGGGAAAATTGATGAATACAAGCTACTTTAATAAGCTTTGGGACAGCTTTCCTCCTGAGGTATGTTACATCTAGAGATCTAGATCTAGATCTGGATGTTGATATAGAAAATTTAGAGATCTAGGCTAAGAAAAAGAAAATTTTAGAATGTAGATCTAGATCTTCATTGTATACTGGCTTTTGAGTTAGAAAAAAACTCTTGGTCTAGTGTCCAGTAGAATCGTGGAAATGAAATAAGCCATCACTTCTAAGTAAAGTGCTTACTTTAATAAATCTCATTTTATAAACATAACTAACAGTGAATTGTATGTAGATCTATGTATACAGTATACATGTATTATAATTATTTTTCTTTTGTTTAGGCCCACAGTGTCTTTATGGATGCCTTCATACAGAATAATCGCCTTGATCATGTTAGCCAAGTGATGGGCTATCACCCAGATTATTTACGAAACTTTCTCACCACACAGAATTATTTACTAAGAGAGGATGGGCCCCTACCATATGATTACCGACATTACATAGCCATCATTGTAAGTGTTCAGGGATGTTGTAATATGTCTAATTTTTTGACTTTCTCATGTCTTAGCAATTTCAATCACAACCTTCTAAACTTTTCATTAATGACATGGCAGTTTTATAAATAGCATTTACTAGCCCAAGTACAAAAAATTGGCCATCAGTTTACTATCACAGGTTAAGATAAGATAGGGCAACTTGAGTGTAAATGTCATCAGAGGGACAGTCTCATGAAATGCTAACAATAACAGAAGAGATGGCTTAAGTACTAATTCACTTTTAATTTCAACAGGCAGCAGCACGCCACCATTGTACATATCTAGTAAAATTACATGAACAAGATTTTCTGCTTCATAATGGAAACCCTGAGTGGTTAAAAGGTATACAACATGCCCCACGCAAGATCCAAGACTTGTATGAGATCAACAAAATTCTTGCACACAGACCATGGCTGATAACTAAAGAACATTTAGTGGTAGGACTTCAAATATTATTGTTGTCTTAGTCATTTTAGTTTCTTTTTCTTGGATTTAAGCTGAAGTATTTTACACAGCAAATTAAAAAAAAATGTTAAACTGAGATAATTTTCAACAGAAACTGTTGAAAAGTTCGGAGCCCTGGTCCCTGTCAGAGCTGATGCATGCCATCATCCTACTCACCCACTTCCACTCCCTGTGTTCATTTGTCTACGGCTGTGGGATCAGTGCTGAGCTGGACATCGATGGCTTCACCTACAGCAGGTCTGGCAGCTCTGGGAGTGACTCAGATTCCAACAGTGACACCAACAGCGAGACAGGGGAGACCACTATCAACCACGTCCTGGTGAGAAACTTTTATATTTGTTGTTGTCTGTGTTTCCTGAAATATTAATTTAAATAATTTGATTTTAAAGTTTTTTACTTCTTGAGTTGAATGTTTTGTTTTCTGTATCAGCAGCTGTTGCAGGACGATGCCAGTGTGGGTCTGGAAGCTCTGATGGAGAAGATGAGGAAATTAAATGAAAACAACTCAGAAGAGACGAGTCCAGAAGAACTTCTCAAGAGATTCCAGTCAGTTGAGCACCAGAGTGCTGAAAGTAAGGCATCTAAATTCTTCTAATGATGTTAACAGCATTCCATGTAATTTTAAGTTTAAAAGACATTTGAATAGACCATTTCTGAATGACAGCAGCAATAAAAATATGAACCTTGCTTTACAGTTGCAGTACCATCCACAAAGAAATCCCCACCCAAATCAGAAATCTTGAGGTATGTGATAGATGAAGAGTACACGTACACAGACTTTGTCACCCAAGACAAGGTCAGTGAGGTCCCCACCTTCAGGGCCTGCGACTACTCATGGGATGACCACGGTTTCCCACTGGCCAACAGGCTGTACACAGATATTGGCAATCTGCTGGATGACAAATACTCAATGGCTGCTAACCTAACTTACTACACGTGAGTTGCACATTTTTATCCTGTTCATCGGGCTACTATTAGAGAATTATTAGTAGGCAGAGTAGTTGTACTACTAGATCCAATATTTTTATTTCTGTACCTGCACTGCTTATCCAGTTGATCCAACATTTTCAACATTTATTTCTACAGAATGGGTGACAACCGTGAAGTGGATACAACTTCATTTCGCCGGGCCATCTGGAACTACATCCACTGCATGTATGGAATCCGTCATGATGATTATGATTATTCAGAAGTAAGTTTGGTTAAAACATTGACTGTAGAAATAAATGTACATTGTTTTGTCTGTCATTGTTTTAACTTTGTTTTCTCTGTTGAAATTTTCTGTTTAAACTCTGTTTCTGTTTGTTAAAACTTTGTTTAAACTTTCTCTGTTTCTGTTTGTTAAAACTTTGTTTATACTTTCTGTGTTTCTGTTTGTAAAAACTTGTCTGTTTTCTTGGTTAAATTTGATTTTGTTTTGCTTGAAAAGGTGAACCAGCTCCTGGAGAGAAACCTGAAGGCCTACATCAAAACTCTGACCTGCTACCCTGAGAGGCTACAAAAGAAGGATTATGATGGTGTGATGAGAGAATTCAAGCACTCAGAAAAGGTAGGTTAAACAAGCAAATGATCCAACCCAAACTTTAAACACAAACATGTTTCTCTGGTTAATAGTAGTGTTTAGACACATTTACGGTGGCTTCTTATTCTGTTAGGTCCATCTGTCTGTTATTCTGTTAGGTCTATGTCCATCTGTCTGTTTCATCTGATGTTATTCTGTTAGGTCTATGTCAGTCTGATGTTGATGTTACTCTTGTATTTCCATGTCAGTCTGATGTTGAGGTTACTCTTGTATTTCCATGTCAGTCTGATATTGATGTTATTCTTTTAGGTCCATGTCAATCTGATGTTGATGGAGGCTCGCCAACAAGCAGAATTACTGTACGCATTGCGAGCTTTGAACAGATACATGACATAGTTAATCTGACTGCCAGGAAGTCTCCCCATCATCTGCTTCACCCCATGGGCTTGCAGTGGTTGTCAGTCTTCAGGACGGAGCTTGGAACAAAACATCAATTCCTTTCAAGGGGGCCGCATTGTCTTTAAACTGTTGCAAGTATTGAAAGACTGGTTCAAAGCCACTGATTGGGTTTTACAAAATGGCATATATATCTCAGCATTTGTTCTACATGACAACAGAATACTGAATGTTGTCGTTATAAATCTACAAGTATGTGATTTCTCATCTTGAACCATTTTTGGGTGATGTAAAATATAACTTGGAGTTGCTCTAAGCAACATTGTATTAATATTGTCAATTTTCTTTCCTATTTTAAATATGATTGTAGGTTTAATTAAGGAAGTCTTACTTTCAGTGTTCAGACTATTTTTCATGAATGCTAGGCTTTTTTTTTATCAGGCTTGTTTATTTGTAAGTTCATTTTTTTAAAGTTTACAATTTTACTACAGTTTTTGTTAAGGTTATTCAAAAGGTATTCTACCAATAAACAAGTAACTATTCTATGAATTGTTGTATATATTGCCTTCCTATATGTTGCTTGAAGCCAGTACTCAGTTCCTGTATGGTTGTAGAAATCATAGTCACATGACTAGTCACATGACCAGCTGCAGGATGATACATAAACAAAGCTGTCCTGTGTCCAGTACTTAACAACCAGACTGAGATGTATAGCTGTACAACTTCTTTGTATTGAAGATCTCCCTGCTGTTTAATGGCATTATTTTTGGTGAATTTAACATGTAACAACTTGAAACTACTGTCCAGAATTTTTTCATAACACTGGGTCATAGTGGACGATACTAAATGTGTAAATAGAACTAAAAGGTTATAAACTGGTTTCCTGCAATCAATGTGTAACCAATCTGACCCAATATCGTCAGATGTGACTAAATACTCAAAACATTTATGGCTAAATCTGTTTGCAACAAATCTTACAAACAGTAAACCAGTTAACTTCTAATTATCTTTTATGTGTAACGCAAACTTTCAAAACAAAAATCTGTGATAAACACATGATTGATTCAATGTACAAAAACATGACTAAAACAATATGAACACATTTTGTATCGCGGGCTACTTAAAATTTTTAAATTCCTGCTACCAGGGCTAATGGTGCCAAGAAAAGCAATAAATTTTTTTGCCACTCTAAATCTACTGCTAATATAAAGTTGTCTGCCTGTTGTTATATTCAAATTAACTTCCAGATAAGTTTCCACTGCTTCCAGGTCTTGCTCCCATTTTAAAACAAATCTGCATTCTATTTGAATAATTAAGTTTTTTTGTTTAGATCAGTCTACTTCTAAAGTTAAAAATTGTCGTAATGGGGTTAAAAAAAAAATTATCTAGTGATGGCTAGTTTTTATTTTCCCTGTACATGATGTAAATTAAAAAGCGAAATATTTCAATGTAAATGCTTGGCTCTAAATGATGAATATTTTTGATACAGCAGTTTGATACTATTGCAGCTAAAAATAGTAAAGAATGGGATTTCCCAGAATTTATTGGGTTTTCCCTAAGGTTGTAGCTAATGATGGCAGAGTTAGGCTTGCACCCAAAGTCTTTCAAGTGATGCAGTGGTGCTTACAAACCATCTGATATTCTATATTGATTGTACTATTGAATGTTAGAATCTGTGTGAATGGGCAGTCTTTTTCTACACAAAACCTGATATAACAATTTAAAACTTAAGAAAAATTAATTTAGAATTGTAGGGCATTATTACTGTACACTATTAGGATTGTGTTGTTTCCTAGGGTTATAAAGTTGTGTGGGTTATAAAGTTGTGTAGAAGTAAGTAAATTGTGTGAAATTTTCTGCTAAAAGTTCACTGTATTGTTTGTCAGCCTGATGTGTTTTTGGTCGTCTTAATATACTGCACTTGTTGCTAGATCTTGCACAATCTTTGCATTGCTTGCACGCTGCAACTGCTCTCAGGGGTACGAGCTGTTTTCTACCCTAGCAGGGTATATGATGCCCACTCTTACATCAAATGTAAGTGTAGGCCCAACAATTGTTGCTGCATCAAGTGTTGTGTAACCTAGCTTTCTGCAGGCAGGCCAATGACATAGGATAAATTAGCTGGCATTTACTCACTAACCAGGTTTTCTTTACAATATTTTGAAAGAAATATGGCACCATAGAAATGTAATAAAGCTGTATGTACAGTACATGTTGTTTCTTATACAACTTTTGACATAATTTATATTTTTTTTTGAAAATGAGATATATATTACACAGAATTAAATTTTTAAAGTATCTCATGGTGTACAATAGGTAACTAGGTACACAAAGTGAATTGTAACTTCGACAGTGGATAATCGGTAGATACAAATTAATAAAGTCATCTGGAGCAATTGTTCCATGACTTGGCTGCTGTGTAAGGTCATGGTCAGTCTTGACCAGCAGCTGTGGGGTCATGGGCTAATTCAGATTGTCTTGTAGCTAGAGTCTTTGTGTTACTAGTCAGAAAACTTTGACTGCATTTAGTTTCTTGAGTTTTTTATGTCAATATTTTCTTTTCTGTATTTAACACTGAATGTGTGGTTTGAAATGGTCAACTTGGAACAGGGGGAGAGAGCGCAGTATTACAGTTCCATGTTGGGTGTGATTGTCTACCTTGCTCTAATACAAATATTGTCATAATGACTGGAGAATTGTTGTTTCATTATTGTCTTTTTAATTATTTTTGTAAAATTTTCTATGACAAAGGTCAAGGTTGCTTTAAAATGTTTTTAAAACAATAAAAAAAAATTGTATAATACAATTTAGTGTTTCTATTTTTGGTACTTGTGTTGCTTTGATCAGTTTTGTCAATATCTAGATCTATATAATGTATTGTTTTGTCAGTGTCCATATTGTATTTTGTGGCTGTGTCCGTGCTACTATTGTCTAGTCACAATTTCTTCCGTCAATCATTATGAACACACATACAATTTTAGCAGTGAATGACAAAGCTGAATTGTCATTTACATGTCATTACCAACATACATACCCTTTTAGCAGTGAATCAAGTCATCAGGTCATTAAAGCTGAATTGTCATGTTTCTACCCAGCTGTTAAAAATTCTCCCAACTGATCAGAATGAGACCTACTTTAAAGATACCTTCCAATTAAGGTTTTTTAGATTAGCCAATCTTATCTGGTGACAAAATTATCTGGGTCAGGGTGACCCAATGGAAACAGATTAGCCTTTGCTATGTGCCTAACATCACATGGTACAGTAGTCTTAGCTATGTGCCTAACATCACATGGTACAGTAGCCTTAGCTATGTGCCTAACATCACATGGTACAGTAGTCTTAGCTATGTGCCTGATATCACATGGTACAGTAGCCTTAGCTATGTGCCTAATATCACATGGTACAGTAGTCTTAGCTATGTGCCTGATATCACATGGTACAGTAGCCTTAGCTATGTGCCTGATATCACATGGTACAGTAGCCTTAGCTATGTGCCTGATATCACATGGTACAGTAGCCTTAGCTATGTGCCTGATATCACATGGTACAGTAGCCTTAGCTATGTGCCTAATATCACATGGTACAGTAGTCTTAGCTATGTGCCTGATATCACATGGTACAGTAGCCTTAGCTATGTGCCTGATATCACATGGTACAGTAGCCTTAGATATGTGCCTGATATCACATGGTACAGTAGCCTTAGCTATGTGCCTGATATCACATGGTACAGTAGCCTTAGCTATGTGCCTGATATCACATGGTACAGTAGCCTTAGCTATGTGCCTGATATCACATGGTACAGTAGTCTAGTCTTAGCTATGTGCCTGATATCACATGGTACAGTAGTCTAGTCTTAGCTATGTGCCTGATATCACATGGTACAGTAGCCTTAGCTATGTGCCTGATATCACATGGTACAGTAGCCTTAGATATGTGCCTGATATCACATGGTACAGTAGCCTTAGCTATGTGCCTGATATCACATGGTACAGTAGCCTTAGCTATGTGCCTGGCATCACATGGTACAGTAGCCTTAGCTATGTGCCTAATATCACATGGTACAGTAGTCTTAGCTATGTGCCTGATATCACATGGTACAGTAGCCTTAGCTATGTGCCTGATATCACATGGTACAGTAGTCTTAGCTATGTGCCTGATATCACATGGTACAGTAGCCTTAGCTATGTGCCTGATATCACATGGTACAGTAGCCTTAGCTATGTGCCTGATAGCACATGGTCCAGTAGGTGCTACATTATTTATATGCTGACTGGCAAAGTACTAATTTCTTTATATCATGTACTGACTGATAAGCTACATAATTATTTATAAACAGTGATATGGTACTGCATTACTAATATCAGTCACATAGTCATAGTGTTATTTATAATATATTTTGCCTGTCTAAATTTATATAGGCCTACTGATTGTGTAGGTGCTAATCTATATAGGCCAACTGAGTGTGTAGGTATTAAATTCATATACCGACTGTATTTTGGTGCTGAGCTATTTATTTACTAAGTTAAATTATGCCATACTCTGACCTAATGTACTACACTCAAATATTTAAATAATATTGACTGATAGGTGAAATATTTGCTGACTCCTATACTAGGTTTGGACTGAGTGGGAATATCCCACCAAACACTGATATTTCTACCCACTGTCAATTCCATGCACTAAAACATTAAACTAAAGCAATTATGTTGTGACAATGGGTTTGGTTGTCAACTAATGCAAGTCTTTAGTGTGAACTCATTCATGCAGCTTGGCAAATTAGGACATACTAATTTAAAACAAACAGCATTTAAAACATTGGATTTGGTGCTTCATATAATACAATATAGGCTAAAAAAAGAAACGTTCTTGATGTGGATTAATATGCTCATGTTCATAGGAACTGCGGTATTAATCAGGATTCACAACGATATTCAATGAACACATTTTAAAATCAAAGTATTTGCGTTCCAAGGGACATAACTCGCTTAAATTAAATGCTTTTTTTTCCGATGCGCATCTTTCTTGTCACCAAATTAAATGTATTAAAAACTATTTAGAAACTGTTTATAATTTATTAAATTGAGCATTGATTTTTTTTAGTGACATCGAAAACAACCCATGTAACATTTCGTCTCTTCTCCTATTCCAATCAGAACTGTTAAAAAAAAACAACAAGAAAAAAACAAGTCAGTGTTAATAATATAGCAAAACCTATTGTGATTTCATCACTTGTTCAATACCTATTTTCAGCTAAAATCGTCTCATTCATATAAAAAAAAAAATCACCGACAAAAAAACCTAAATAACATTATCACCCAGATTCTACATCCATTAGTAAATACATGTTTGCCTACATGTACTTCAATCTTGAGTAAGAATATTAAGTGTTTAACACTAATCGTTAATGCAAGGGATTTAACAATGTTAATTATCGTCCGTATTATTTTTTGAGTTGTCTTTTCTTTAAAATGTCCGGATTGTGCCGACTATGGGCTTGTTTGCAGGCATTTTCAGGGGGAAGAGGAGGAAGAAAGTCGCAGGG